AGCAAAAACTGAGTTTTGGAAAGTTTACGTCACACTCTCTGCATGCACCTTCTTCTCCAAACTCTGATATTCTCAAATTCTCCTCCTTTTCTCTAAAGGCTCTCCCTTCTCTCTACCAATTCTCACCCTTTCTCTTCTCCGATCTCCGTTCAGGCACCGTGGAAGTATTTCCAGCGTCAAGAGCTTCAGTTTGAACCGATCGGTTTAGGGTTCTGAACTGGTAAGTTCTTTATCTCGTTAATCGTTCGTTATCTGGTACATGCAAACCAAGTTCTGGTTGCACGAGTTCATAGTCTCTTTCTGAACCATTTTTGGTCTGTTGTTTGGTTAGTTGAAGAATTGTTGAACGTGAGGGTAGAAGGAATTGTGGTCAGGCGAACCTTAATTCTGCTTCTAGGAACGTTCGTTCACGCTCAGAAGTAAGGAAAGCTTATTAATTTAATTTGTATGATTATGTGTGTTGCATGAACGTTCGATGAATTGACTGCATTAATATATGATGGTTGATATGTTTGGGATTGTATGAAGTATGAAAATTTATTATGATATGAATGTATAAGTTATGAAACTATATGTTAAGAAATGAGGTGAATATAAATGAATTCTGAAAATTGAAATTTCACTATGATAGTGTACGTTCGTCACTAAATGGTCATTGACTGTTCGATAATGTTAGTATACTTGGTTAGAATTGGATTCTTTCATTTGGGAAGAATCTTAGTTGAGGACGAGCGTCTTCATGTTGTAATACTATGCTTGAGCGTTCGACCAAGCATAGTTGTATCTGGGTATTCTGTGATAAACTTAAATATATATATATATATATATATTTGTATATTTTAGTTATTCTTAAACACTACTCCAATAGTATCTTATTCTATTTATCAAGCTTTCTAATATATGTTTAGTAGTGCTCGGTCTTACACCAAGTGCTCGTACCGAGTAGTTCTCGGTCTTACACCAAGCGCACATTCTCTTTCCTATAATATACATATTGATGAAAATAGCGTTCGTCCAAATTTAATAGAGTTCTCTCTACCGTGCTCGGTCATTGACTGACATTCGGTTTTCTTGATACTAAACTCAAATAAGCTAAGTTTTCATAAGCGTTCGGTTTCTTAATGTGAATTCTTCTAAGTATTATTCTTTGAATGTCTTGAAGTGTCTACATCCATTGGTTCCGGCCTAGAGCCTTAGTACTTGGCATGGTCTTTTCGGGGTTCGGTTGGAACTCTCAAGAGTCAGTTCATCTAATTGGCTCACTTTTTAAGTAACGTTCGTTCTAGTCGTTCTTGTTATATATGATTGTACTCGGTTTCTTTCTCAAACCGATAGTAATCCTCTTGGTCTTAATTTTGTTCTGGAACTGGAGATCTCTCGGTCTCGCTCAAAGCGTTCGATCTCGTTCTGAATCAGTGTTGAACGTTCGGTATTTGGGATCCTTATGAATCTTTGTACGAGGTGGTTAAGTGAGATGATTATGAATGAAAGATGAAGAGAATGTGATGTGGATTGAAATGTTTGGATTATTGGACGAGCGTTCTGGAGAGGAACGACTCATGAATGAATATTGGAATTGGTAAAGTATGAATGTGGGCATGCTAAGCTGGCGGTTCATCCTGATGTTCCATGAGTACTTGTCCTCACGTAGAGGAGGGTAGGTCACGTGTGGGAACGGCAGGAGGTCCTAGTCCTTAGGGTTACTTTGGACAGATAGGACTAACCTCGGGTGACAGCTGTTGAGGGTATCCCAGTTACTACATCACCCGGTTGCACGAACGCCTTAAGCTACACAGATTTCATACAGTCCGGACAGTCAGTCTAGTATTAAGCTTTGTATGAACGTATGATGAAATATATCTTTGTGTTTGATTGTGTGAATGTTTTTACATGAATTAAATTACATAAGCTTACCCTGTGTTTTCCTGGCTTGTCTTGTTTTGTACGTTCGTCTTGTCATTGCAATGATCGTCCGTGTGGATGTGAGCAGAAGGAGACGAGCTGCTGGAAGAGGCGTTGGAAGAAGAAAACCTGGTCAAGGTTGAAGTGAAGACCGAACAGTAGGACATTCGGTCAGTAATCTAGTAATAGTAAGGTGGTCGTTCGATCACCTTCCCTTTTGTTAAGTATGACCGTTCGGTATTTTCTTCTGTAAACCGTTCGGTCAGATTTGCTTATCCTGTACAGTTTAAATTTGTAACTCTTACTGTAAGGCCGTTCGGCCATGAGCGTACGCTCTACTTTAGTGTAAGACTGATCTGGGTTATTATTTAATGTGATTATTCTATTATATAGTTTTAAGACTGTATTTTTGTGATGTTACAGAGTGCAAACCTCATCTTGCTAGTAAGTTTTTGTGCGGTTGATTTAGACTTAAAACTTATTTCCTAAGATGGTATCGAAGTTTATCTTAGCAAGGATTGTTGGGCCAATTCTCCCACCTACTATTGGGCCATTATCAAACTACCCATAAATATTTATTCTCATGCTTAAGATGTATAGTCCTTAACATGAGAGGGTGGGTTGAAGATCCCACTTTAGCTATAGATCCACCTTCTTTTACTACGCATGCATGATTGTACTAAATACAATGTATAACCTTAAAACACACAATATTTAAACTAAATTAACATAGAAAGGTTTTTTCAATTGTATTCACTAAATTGTTGTATTGACCATTATCGTGGATAAATTAATATATATATGATAACAATGATATGCAAACTGAATTTCTTTTAATTTTGAGCAAATAGATAATTTCAAATCATGATAGAGGAACTTGATTGTTAATTGAAGAATCTTGAGGGACTAGATTGGCACAATAAAACCTAAGAAATCAAAATCTCACATTTATGTCACCAAAAGGGAAAAAACTGCAATTAAGCCTTTATATATTTTTTCCTTTTCTTTTCCTATCTTTACTTGTTTATTGAAACAAGTTCAAACACATAGGATAGTGATAGGATCTAAGGCAAGAGGATAGAAGGCGGGAAAATGAGAGAGCGGTTAGGAAAGGCAGGATGGGAGAGCTTATATAAATAGAGTTCTATTCATTATTAGAAAGCAGTTAGTCATATACTTTTGTATAAACAGGTCTTGGACCTTGTTGAGGGGGATTAGGCTCCCGTTTCTGTATTTCGTTATACGTTACAGTATATACATTCACAGTGAAATTCATACTATTCCTTTGTTATTTCTTGTTTCTGTGCTGTTGGGTGTTTGGATATTGTGAGAAAGTTAGGTTTCTCAATCGGAAACCTAACAATTGGTCCGACCTGCCGGATCCAATTAAAGGCGGAGCAAGACGGTGGGCAAGCTACCGCTTGGGAGAATAGAATCGAAGGGAGGATAATTGTGATGGAAGGAAGAGACAATACCTGGGAGAGGAGGACCAGTGAAAGGAGCATGGCAGAATACAAAAGAAATATGGAAGAAATACGACAAGAAACGGCCGCGATGCGTCAAGACTTACAAGAAATCATGCAAAGGCTGGGTGGACGAAACAGGAACCAGGATGGACACGTAGATGGGGGCCAAGCGTCCGTCAGTGAGAATTAGAGGGTGAGGATGAAAGACGAAGGAGGAAGGGAAGGCGAACATACTGAGGGGCAAAACAGCTGGCGGAAACGGGTGGCGCTACCCGTCTTCGAGGGGATCGATCCGCTGAACTGGATCAATCGTGAAATTGTTCGAGTTACGAAGGGTATTGGAGGAGGAAAAGGTGCGCCTAGCCGATATCAGTATGGAGGGAGCGCTAGCTATTGGTTCAGAGCATGGAAGGAGAAAGCCAAGAATCGTTCCTGGGATGGCTTGAAGGAAGCCCTGGTGATAAGGTTTGGAACCATTGTTGAGCGTTTGGAAGCATCGAAACAGATGGGGACGTGGAAGTGTATGTACAAGGAGGCGAAAAGGTAAGGAAAGGGAGCGGGATAGAAGACGATTCATCTGGGCGACGAACGCGAGGAGCGGTTATCGAGCGGTACGAGGCCAAGTACTGTAGACCAGACCGATCGGGATTAGCCGAGCAGTCCGAGGCCGATCGGGAGGCCCTATTCAGCCAAAATTGATGAAGTTGCACGGTTCGATAGGGGACCGAACGGTATTGACCATTAAAGGATGAAACCGAACGGTGTTGCCCATTATAGGACGAAAACGAACGGTGTTAACCAATATAGGATGGAACCAAACGGTATTGACTAGGCTGTTCAATCAAGGAGGGAATAAGGTATTCAGCAAGGGGGATCCAACACTAGTTAGAAGGTGGGGGGAGCCAGAAGCTTTGTTAAAAATAAAGGAAGTAGAACCGTGGACCTTGGTGTGGGAGATGGGGGTGATAGGAAGGAAAGAGGAAGAATGGAAGATAGTGGAGGAGGAATTGCCACCACCTAAGGCTCTAGACCTGAATTGGTGGGCAGTAGCCAGTTGATTCACTTCATATGATAACAAGATGATGAAGAGGAGCCAAGAGACCAAGCTTTTCGGTTCCAACCTTGAGGACAAGGTTGTTTTGCAACGGAGTGTAATGATAGGATCTAAGGCAAGAGGATAGAAGGCGGTAAAATGAGAGAGCGGTTAGGAAAGGCGGGATGGGAGAGCTTATATAAATAAAGTTCTATTCATTGTTAGAAAGCAGCTAGCCATATACTTTTGTGTAAACAGGTCTTGGACCTTGTTAAAGGGGATTAGGCTCCCGTTCCGGTAGTTTGTTATACGTTACAGTATATACATTCACAGTGAAATTCATATTATTCCTTTGTTATTTCTTGTTTCTGTGTTGGGTGTTTGGATATTGTGAGAAAGTTAGGTTTCTCAATCGGAAACCTCACAGATAGTATCTTGGAATTATTCTTAACAAAATGTAATTCAAAATGAAATTTTCTATTTAAAGATGCATGGTAGTTAATTACCAACTTAAGGATACATATCTATCTATTCTCCAGAACAAATTCTACAGAAATTGTTATGCTTAATAATGTGTGTTAAGAAAGTTAAGGAAAAAGCATTCTATATGTGGCTATCATCAACATGCATGTCCATATGTTTGAAATTAAACTTTCTATTTATTAAATTTTTTATTGGTTTAGCGTTCAAGTGGAAAATCAATTGAGTTGACTCCGGAGACAGGAACACTGGTATGATTTCCAATTTATGATTAATGTAAATTTTTTATTGGTTTAGCGTTCAAGTTTCAAATGCATGACTCTTCTAAGATTTTTCTAGGTCATCACAACCAGAAATCCTTGATAACTTAATTGTCTTTGTGAATTGACTCAATTTTTTTTTTTTATTGTATAGTTTGTTTTCTTCACTGGTGGAACTGTGTTTTTAACCCTTATAGTAAATGGGTCAACCACACAACTCATGTTACGTTACCTTGGCATGGATAGTTTATCAGCAGCTAAGGTTAGAATTTTCCTCATCTTCTATGTTCAACTTATGTACTAGTTTTGAGAGATGAAATGTTTTGATATCTCGTACTTTATGTAATTCACTAATGTCTCAGGTTTTATCCTAATTGTTGGTCTCTCTCTCTCTCTCTCTCACACACACACACACAAATCTAAGAAAGTACCTTGAAAAATATCTTATCCATATACTTTGGTTAGATACATAGCAGTGAAGATTTATTTGCATTTGTTGTTCCAATAACATAGAAAGTATCAATAAGAAACATTAAAAATAAACTAGTGAGCGAAGGAAGCTTATAAACTGAAGCAGTGCTGTCAAGTTTATTTTGCAGGTAAATATTATCTCCTAATGGTTTTTAGAGTAAATGGGCTTCATAGCCACTATTGGAAGGTTACATAACTACAAACACAAATAAATGTAAATTGTGAGGAACAGAGGAAAGCTTTTAAATTTGTATAAATTGATTCCAAATGAAAAATATCTCTATATCACCTCTTCTCTTCTTCTAACTTATATTTTGTATGATCCTCATACTTTACACATTTAATAACAGAGACGTATCCTTGACTTTACAAAGCATGAAATGTTGGACAAGGCATTGGAGGCTTTCAGTGAACTTGGAGATGATGAGGAACTTGGGCCTGCTGACTGGCCCACAGTGAAGAGATACATCTCTTGCTTAAATGACATTGAAGGTGAACGTGTTCACCCTCATGGTGCAACTGAAAATGATAGTCACCTAGATCCTATGAACTTGAAAGATATACGAGTACGACTACTGAATGGTATGGGAACATTTACAATGAAAATGATAGTATTTCATTGTTTGTTACATCTTTTACAATAGAAACTTTATAAGGTCTGTACCTTATTTTTCTGTTTGTTTAACTGCTTCAAACATCTTAAATTCTTACAATCCATTAATTTTTAAGTTAAAAGTAAAAGACACATAATTATAAGACATCTTGTGTCTGTAAGGACAAGTATTCTTTTGGGGGGATCATGCTTGAAGCCTTTTCAATTTTTAAAGATTTTTATAGATTTATGTTGCACATTATATGTAAGAATTTTTTTCAAACTTGTTCAATTCTATGCTTGCTATTAGCTTTTCAGCAGCTCGTCTTGTGTTACTTTTTTACTTTCAGTTTAGTGGCATGTACAGATGCAGTGAAGGTTAGGGTTAGAGCTTGATCCATATTCGTGGACGTTTTTTCTATTAGAAATCACCTTTTGGTTAATATTTAATTTTCTAGCAACAAGTCTCTGCAAATAAAAGCCTGAATATGATCAACTTCAATTTTGCTGGATGGATTTGTCATCAAGAGAGTAGATGACGTGATTTTTAAACCTGTGGGAACGGGTGGAGAGATCAAGAAAGGCATTGAAGGAAAATATTATAATAAAATCGATGTCTATGAGAATTCAGTTTTTAACTGAGTTTAATGACAATGTGTGATCCATCATCCATGTAGCTGACACGCATTACATTATTTGTTATAACTACTGTATTTGTTATGATGTGATAGCATTTACAATTATTGATGCTGATTGTGTGTTCGCCTAGAGGCCTAAGTTAAGAAGATGCAACTATTGTTTTCTTGATGGTGTATGTATATGCAATTTCTTTACAAAGGTTGCTTTAACTCATAGTGACTTAGTAAATCTTTGACAGGCATGTGCATTTGCAGAGAAATACATTCTAAAATAAGTTAATCTTTGGTAGTCTCTTGTTGGCTAAGTCCTCTGATGAGCCCTGATTTTACTATTGATTTTGGCTTGTTCGATTTTGCCAATATCATGCCTAATTTTAGAACTTATTACTCATTAGGTGTACAAGCTGCTTACTGGGAGATGCTTGAGGAAGGAAGGATTTCTCAAACAACAGCTAATGTCCTAATGTTATCCGTAGAGGAAGCCATAGATTTGGCTTCATCTGAGTCTCTATGCGACTGGAAAGGTTTAAAATCTAACGTTCACTTCCCAAGTTACTACAAGTTTCTACAGTCCAATATGTTCCCACCGAAGCTAGTGACATACTTCACTGTACAAAGGTTGGAATCTGCATGTTATATTTGTNGTGTGTATTTGTATATTTTAGTTATTCTTAAACACTACTCAAATAGTATCTGATTATATTTATCAAGCCTATTCTCTATAAGCTTAGTAGCACTTGGTCTTATACCAAGTGTTCGTTCTAAGCAAGTATTTGGTCTTACACCATGCACTCGTTCTAGTTCCTTAAGCCAACTTCATAATAAGAGCGTTCGTTCAAGCCTAATAGGGTTCATTCACTATAGTGTTCAGTCTTTGACTGACATTCAGATGTTTAGCTACTTCAAAGGCTAAGTATATTTATTAACGTTCGGTTTCATCATGTAAATTCTTATAAGTATTATTCTTTGAAGTGTCTGTATTCATTGATTTCGGCCTAGAGTTTTAGCAATTGACATCATCTTTGAAGTGTTCATTTTAATCTTCCAAGAGTCAGTTCATTTAATTCACTCACTTCGTAAGTAACACTCGTTCTAGTAGTTCTTGTCATATATGATCTTACTCGGTTTCTTTCTCAACCTGATGGTAACCCACTTTGAACTTAATCCGTTCTGGAACTAGAGACCTCTCGGTCTCGCTCCAAGTGTTGGTCTCGTTCTGAGTTTAGCGGTTGAACATTCGGTATTTCGTACCCTTAGTGATCCTGGTACAACTGGTTAACTTGAGATGATTGATAATGAAAGATGAAGAGAATGTGATATGGATAAAATGTGTTGATTTTTGGACGAGCGTTCCGGGGAGGAACGATTCATGGTTGAATATTGGAATTGGTAAAGTATGAATATGATCATGCTAAGCTGGCGGTTCATCCTGATGTTCCGTGAGTACTCGTCCTCACGTAGAGGAGGGTAGGTCATCTGTGGGAACAGCAGGAGGTCCTAGTCCTTAGGGTTACTTTAAATAGATAGGACTAACCTCGGGTGGCGGCTGTTGAGGGTATCCCAGTTACTACATCACCCGGGTGCACGAACGTCGTAGCTACACAGACTTCATACAGTCCGGACAGTCAGTATAGTATTAGGCTTTGTATTAACTTATGATGATTTATCTTGTTTCTTTGATTGTGTGAAATGTATGTTTGGACATGAATTAAATTACATAAGCTTACCCTGTGTTTCCTGTCTTGTCATGTTGTATACGTTCGTCTTGTCATTGCAATGATCATCCGTGTGGATGTGAGCAGAAGGAGACGAGCTGTTGGAAGATGCGCTGGAAGAAGAGAACCTGGTCGAGGTAGAAGTGAAGACCGAACAGTAGGACGTTCGATCAATAGTTAGTTTATAGTAAGGTGGTCGTTCGATCACCTTCCCTTTTGTTAAGTATGACCGTTCGGTATTTTTCTTTTGTAAACCGTTCGGTCAGAATTGTACTCCTGTACAACTTTGTTTTCTCGTACTGCTTTGTAAGGTCGTTCGGCCAGAACCGTACGCTCTTCTTAGTGTAAGACTGATCTGTATATTATTAAATGTGATTATTCTATTATATGGTTATAAACTGTATTTTTGGGATGTTACATTTGTTTATTTTATATGAGTAACCATTCTAATTGACAATGACATCTAATATCCAATTAAATCAAATACAAGATCCAGGTAGATATACTTGGACATGTATATATAATCATGTTTGTCCTTATAAATGAAAATATGTATGAACAAAGTACACTTAATCATGTGATACATGCTAATCTCATAACAAACAAAAAAGATAACAGATACTTGCCTTTAGCATGCCTAATCTTGAAAGCTTGCGACCAGTGCACCTTTTGGCATCGCATTGCCTAAAATCCTGAGTTGGAAAAAACCAATCATTCAAAATTCAAAGACGCATGACATGGCTTATGAATATAAGATTAGAATGCAGTCATGATACTTGAATGGTACTTTACAAGTCACACTAAATTTCATTAGCAAAAAACATTGGAGTGAGTTAAATTTGAAAAACTTGATTAAAGTGGTTCTCTCTACTAATGAGTAATGATACGATGCAGTATTAAACTGAGCACTTTATTTATAATTCTAATTACTCCACATATATCCCCTACTTTTCCCTAGGGAAACAAGTAAAATAAAAACCAGAATAGATTTCCAGACATACCTTGCAAGTCAAATACTGATTCAGTAAACTTGTATGATTGAGAATTAATGAGCTTAAGGTTATCTTCGTGCTGTTTGATAATCTTAGATCTCTCTCTGATGTCATTGTTTAGATTCAGCTGAAACAGCAAAAGAAAATGACGTGGAAAAATATTAACACCATCAAAACTGTAAAGCACCAAAACATTTAAGCTACATAGTAATATTAACATGAAGTCATCCACAACATTTCAGAGTACATTTAAGAGTTTTCACAACCATAGTTGCAGCCAATTAACCTCAACATTTTTAGAACTTTTCACAACTGTAATTGTGGATGAATAGCCCACCACCTCAAGGTTTTTAGATTTTATGCGCCGTAATTGCAGTGAGTTAAGTATGATATATTCACACAGAGTTCTCTTACAATTCAATAGATCATGAAGAACCAGTAACCACCATTCGTACAAACCCAAATTGGGTCTCCCAAAATCCTTCATTATGCAGGGATTTATAGAATCTCAACCTATGATTTAAAAATTGAGGAGTAAAATGGACTAAACTGTAATAATAGAAAAATTGTTAACCATTGAAGAACCTGCGTACGAAAATCATGAACAGCGGAGATGAGGGGCACGAGTTGAAGGTGATGATCGATCTGCGTCTGAACATGGCGGAACTAATTCACTACGCTCCAACCCATGGCAATCATGTAAAGGTAACTCTTGTCTTTGCAACTTTCCACCAATTTCAACGCTTTCTTCAAAGCCTCTTGGAGACCATCCCATGGTTCCTTTGTCGCCAGCAGTCGTGCCACCTCAGCCGACTCCAGCGTCGCCAGCAGGTTCCCTATCACCCTCACCTGCTCCAACAAGCGCTCGTAGTTCCTGCTGTGCGCACTGGCGTTATCACTGCTCTCGCCACCCTCGTTGCGCTCAATCCTAGAACCTGTACTAGGTCTTCCATCTTCAATTTTGTGTTTGTTGTTCTTGTTTCTGTTTGTATATAGTGTAGAGAGACAATGAAAATTCAGAGAGACAATGAAAAATTCATACCTTATTGTCGAGCGAACCAGTCGTCGTGCAAGCCTTATCGGAGCATCCCATCACTAGCAGACCTTTGCGCCAGTTAGCCATTAGCATCGCGCACTATCCTTGCACAGCATTATCATCGCGCCAACCTTTTACCATTGAGAGCCTTTGCGCGAGATGCATCTCAAATCATGAGCATCGTCGCACCTTGACGTAAAAGAGAGAAAGGGATCGTAAACAGAGAAATGTGTGAACCAAAAATAGCGGTTATGATGTCTAATCGGTCTAAAAAAAGTTTTTCAATGTCATATCTGTTACTTCTATATTGGTTATACGTTTAAAAGCTATAGAAAAACGTTTTTATACCTCTTTTAAGCGTAACTGGTATAAAAATATTTATTATTTATTACAATTTTGCCATCAAATTATTTTTTACACCTAATTTTAGTTTAACGGTGTAAAAAGGTTTCTTTTATTTACAAAATTGTCACCACATCATTTTTTATACCTGATAGGTTTTAATAGGTATAAAAAGTCGCTATAAAAAACTTATTTTGCAGTAGTGTATCGACGCAGAGGAAGGGGAAGACAAGCATTCAATAAGGCTAAAATTGAATCCTTCAAATGTATGAGATATTTTCAATATGAATGTCCTATGTGGGAGAAGAAAGTGAATTATGACAAAATAAAGAATATGGTAGAACAAGATGATGAAAAAGATATCTGACTTGAGCGTCGAAGTGTCTTCTGCAGGTTAACAAATCATCGGGGTGGATTGTGTTATTGGAGAGGATTGGACGATCGAAAGAGAGCAGAGCAAGGAAGGACGACTGGCCCTCGGACCAATTCAACCGAAACAACAAATGTATTTTATGTTCCTGAGCTAAAAAATAATTTATTGAACATAGAAAAGAAGGTTGACTATAATCATTTAGAGCAAAAAGTGCAATGTTGTTCATCCTAAAAGAGGCCTAATTATGAGATAAAAAATGAGTGGAAACAAGATGTTTGTATTCACATCCACTAAAGGAGCAACAACTTGTTGTCAAGTGGATTTTACGCACGATTCTTAACGATGGCATAATCGGTTAGAACATTTAAGCTATGATGGCTTAAAAACACCGGTCATTAAACAAATGGTGAAATGGTTGCCTCCTATCACAACTCCCAAGGATCTATGTGCATAGTGCTTAGCAGGGAAACAACACTGAAATGAAATATCAAAGAAAAGTCTTTGGAGAGCATCAAAGAAGATACAGGTGGTTCAGGCTTATTTAACCAACTTCAAGCAGTAATAAAAGATATATCATAAGTTTTAATGATGATTTATCCCGAAGTATACTTTAAGTGAGAAATTAGAAACTTTTTCTTTATTTAAAAAATTCAAAACACAGGTAGAAAAGGAGACCGGAGAAAGCATTATTTGCTTACACACGAATAAAGGAGAAAAATTTACCTCCAAGGAACTTAACAAATTTTGTAAACCATGGCATTTGAAGAGAATTAACAGTTGCCTACATTCCTGAAAAAAAAAATAGAATCATTATAAATATTATTCTTTTGCATTCAATCAATAAACAATATGATTTGACTTAGGTTAACCTCTATACTTAAAAAAAAAACTGAATTTTATTTTACAAGCTTGTGTAACACAAAAAGTCATGTATCATCTATATAAACATAAATAATAAATAATGTTATATGAGAATATCGTGAGTGGTAAATTAAGAAGACGGAAAATAATTAATTTTATACTTAGTATATTTTTCTTTGAAGTTATATATGTAAATATAATTTGATATCTTTTAAAAAGAAAAGTTTATTTTGAAAAACAAATTAAAAAAATAATTTGTTTTCATCTTACACTAATTAATAGAATATTACAGCTACATACCAATGATAAAAATTAATTTATAAATTATATTTTCAGGTTTTTTCAAAAGCATTCTGTTTAATATTACCCTCCATAATAATGACAATAAATATAATAATTTACAAATGTTATCTTTTCCGCAAAATAGGGTTCGTAGGCATTATCATTAAGTAGAGACATGGCTTCTAAATGTGAAACTAAAATAGGAATCAAAATGACAAGCAATAAAAGACATTATTTTTGGGTAAGTAAATAAAGTTAATTATGATTATGTCCTTGCTTACGTCTGCAACACTTGAAGTTAGAGACTATGTTGTGTCACTGGAATAAAATCAAATATTTTCGTATGATGACAGATTATGCAATAATTTTAATTTGTGTTTTCGATACAATTATGCAGTTAGTACTTAGATTAATTAATCCTCACAAGAGATTGAGGTTCATAAGTGTCTGTTGCATAGTGTTGTCCGTGACACCTTGCTGAATACAATATACCGTATATATTTCCAAAGAGAGAAAGATTATAGACATGCTAATTTGAAGAACTAACCCTTTTAATTTTCAATGTCTAAAAAAGGAAGAGGAGAAAGAAGAAAATAGAAAGAAAAAAAATCAAAGTAATATTTACCAACAATTCTAATTAATTATCAAAATTTGTTGATAGTTATTAATAAATGTTGTTGAAGGAATAAGAGCTTTAATCGTAAACCTTATGAAGCTTGAGAAGTAGAGGCATATAATTTAAAAGAAATAAATAAATCAGAGTTATGGAGTTATGGATAGAAAGACAAACTTGTTCAGTAAAGTCAACAAGAATAATCGAAGAGACACCGGAGATTGGAAAGGAAATTGAATAGGTTTTATATTATGATTTAGCTTGGACTAAGAGTTAGAAAATAAACTTTATTAATTTTTGTTTAGAATTTTATTATTGAAACTACAATTTAAAGATAACTCTCACTAAATACAAATTTAATTCATTAAATTATATAAATGTGAAGGTTGACATTCAAGTAATAACAATTCAAGAACGTTCAAGACACATTGACGGAAAGAAAAAATAAAATAATATATATATATATATATATATATATATATATATATATATTATAGGTTTCTATATTTTCTTTAAAGAAATCCATGTATATTTATTATTACACCACATAAAAATAATATTTTTCTAATTACATTTTCAAGAAATACTAAACGAAGAAAATAAGAAATTATTTTCTATTCCAAGAGAATTTTGTCTAAACACATTTCTATTAATTCTTCTTGGGATTATATGTTATAGGTTATTTTTTGTTCTCCATTCTTAAACTCAAAGAGAGAGCATATATAGTCATTAGAATCATGAATCTCAAATCAACAAAAAAAAAAAGAAATTTGGAATTATTTGAAAAGCAAATATGTAGGAGATCAAAGGATACAAACTATATTTTTGGATGGATGTTTAAATGAAAGAAATATTTGTTAAACAACCAAAAGTTTTTGTCATTAAAGGATAAAAGTGTATAACATACATAACGTCTTATATGGATTAAAATGGATACCAAAATCAACACACTTGAAGAACTTCAACTTCATAAAAAATTCAAATTTACTCTATATGTTAAAAATGAACACAATGAAATATTTATGATATCTCTTTATATCAGTGATCTTTACAATATAACATGGTTTTTGTTTCAAGTGAATTATCATCTTTATATTCTCCTTGACTCTCTTTATCTGCCACTCATCAATTTAAAAAATATTATATCGTAATTTAAATTTTATTCGTTATAAATTTTAATTATGATATAATTTATAAACATACAAAGTTAAAGTCTGTAATTATAATGGTTTATATATAAATATTCGCCTTGTGCAATAATTAAAATAGTTATATATAAAACAATATGTAAAATTGTTTCTAATTGGTCGGTTGTGAGCACTAATGCAAAAATCAATGATATTTAAACTATTTCATCCTTTTTAACATAAAACAATAATAATAAACATAAAATTGAAATGAACTCATGAATCAAAAAGTGTTTTTAAAAAAATGAAAAATAAAATATTAAATTAATGTGATAATAATTATATTAAAGAACATCTCGAAACTTAACATTAATAGTTGTTCCCACAGAGGGGAGTATGAAGTGTGATCGTGGTGTGTCCACAGTGGATAAGACTCTTAAACCTTGTCCCTCCATACAAACATTTCACTAACATTAAGCCCCCCAATCTGAAATGGCAACCTTTCCATTCACTTCCTTATTCCCACTCACACTCTCATCTCCATCTTCATCTTCATCTTCATCTTCATCTTTCAAGCTCTCGACTTTGCATGCTTTCAGAGCCTCAACTTCCGAGTATGTTTCCTTCCGGCACACACCCAGAAGGGAATTCTTGAAGGGTCTTGCTTTGATGCCTCTTCCTCTTGTTGTGCTGAGAGAGCCACCCCCTTCACATGCTAGAGAAGTTGAGGTTGGATCCTTCCTCCCACCCTCACCCTCTGACCCTTCTTTCGTTCTCTTCACCGCCTCTCCCAAGGACACTCCCGCCCTTCGAGCAGGTACATGGATTTAACACTGCAGACAGAGTTCAATTGTTCACATTTGTGGCCGGAGTGAGTGCTAGTATAGATAATTATTTCATGGTTGTGTATTTGAGCATCACATTGTTTAGCTTCGTGTGCAAGGACAATTTGTGATTACGATTAATTTTTTATGTTCCAAGAACCTGAATAATTTGATAGGCTAAGGAAGCTATGATTTTGATTACTCTTATGCAGACAATTTGGCTTGTTAATCGATAATTTTGCACCTCTCAGTTGCATATTTGAAAATTATAGCTGTAATTCTGGAGCTTTGTGACTCTGAAAAAGGTCTCATTGTATTAGAATCTAGGTCTGATTAACGTACAATTTTGTTACTGTGTCTACTCTCATCCTCCCCATGAATTGTATATGTATAAATATTTGAGAGAAAAAGCATATATGAGGCATTTGATCTTGCCTAATGTTGTTCTATGCAAATGATAGTCTAGATTTAGTTCTTTGCAGGAAATGTGCAGCCATACAAGTTTCTCCTCCCCCCAACTTGGAAACAGGCTCGTGTAGCAAACATATTATCTGGAAATTACTGTCAGCCAAAGTGTGCAGAGCCTTGGGTGGAGGTTAAGTTTGAAGATGAAAAGCAGGGAAAGGTTCAGGTAGTGGCTTCGCCTTTGATACGCCTTACCAACAAACCGAATGCAACAATTGAAGACATTGGTAGCCCAGAAAAGCTGATTGCTTCTCTTGGCCCTTTTGTCACTGGAAACACACTTGATCCAGAAGAGCTCATTGAGACTTCAGTAGAAAAGCTTGGTGATCAGACGGTACATTTCTTTCCTAAACACTTACATTTTTGCTTTTACATAATGAAGAAACTGAATGAAGTACTCAACCAATAAGTTTAATAATTACTAGTCTTTTACTTTTTTCAACACTGTCACAAAATCAATGGCAGAACAAAAGTGTTCCAGTTGAAGCACTTCACTAAAATGACCATGTAGAACAGGTTTATACACAGATGTATATTAGTGACCAACATTCTGAAACGTTATCTGCAGTACTACAAATATGTGCTTGAAACTCCATATGCTCTAACTGGCACACACAATCTTGCGAAAGCAACAGCAAAGGGAAACACTGTTGTGCTGTTTGTGGTCAGTGCCAATGACAAGCAGTGGCAAACTTCTGAAGAGACCGTGCTTAATATTCCTTCCAAGTTTAGTTTTCTGTCAGAGGTAAATAAAGAAGTTTATTTCTTTCTAGTTTTGTTTATACAAAAAGACTCAGCAATGCATTGTTCACCGTTTCAAATTTTGTGTTTGGAGGTTGAATCATGTTTAAATGCTTTAACTTCATAGCAGTATGACCTTTTTCTTCTTTGTATATACCTCATTGAATAAACGACATATGTTTGGATTGTCTTAATTTCTTAATTTATTCATCTTTGTAACCAAACACTAGAATCAAGAAAGTAGATAAATAACAATTAGAAGAAGAGAATAAAGATGTTCAGTGCAGTAGCCGATTCATTGACTTCTTCATTATCAGAACCCATATGTTCAAAACACGAGTAATCTACTCCTTAGGGAGTTAAAACTATACTCTAACTAATGATGTAAGTTTTTCGTATTAATCCTTATTCAATCAAACTCTAAACATTGTAAACTCTCAAATATGTAGACATCAAAGCTTTTCATAATTAAAATTTTATTTCTTATTTAATTTAGAAATATGAAATATAACATTATAAAAAGTAGTCAACTCTATTTTTTCTAAAACACTAAAATATTTTCATTTTACACTCATATTTGGAGATGATAAAATGGTTCAGACTAACTCAGAAAATAGGATAGGGCAAGTTAATCGCATCGCAATGTCTATTTTTTATATATATAATTTTGTTTTGTATGTTAATATATAATATTAACAACACATTTAGTGAATTTCAATCTTTTTTTGCTGGACCTATTTCCTTTATAACTAACCAACTTGATTCGTGGAATAAATTTTTAACCTAACCTATTTAATTTTCTGACATAATTTATTTTTAGAATTAGTTGTATTCTATTGATCGCTATAAAACTTGATTAGTTGTCAAAGAATACAAACAAATCTATGGTCAGGATCATAGTAACTTTTTCTCCTATTTGACTTCTCTTTTCCATTGCAATTACTCACAACCGGACTTTATTTCAACTTAACATTAAAAATGCATTTCTAGTGAACTTGATAAAAAATTCTACATGAAACAACGATGAAAACAATGGGAATTATTCTGGTATTTAATTTAGAGAAAGATACTGACGTCACATTAAAAAAAGAAAACATTCAAAAAAGAAAAGATGGTGAACGACAAATGATGAGGTTGATCATTACAAGTTATTTTTATAAATTTGGATTCTTATAACTAAAAACAATTCTACAAAGTCTCAAAGTGAAAATTCAATTTTCATTTTAAATTTATAAATCTTATGTTGCATGACACATACATCCTTTTATAAACTATTGTGTAAGACCTTCTAAATTTTACGTCAATTTTCGTTAAGTAGTTTTTAATGTTCACTAGTATTTAGCTTTCACTCACAAGAACATAAATGATTCACTTTCTTGTGGTTTTTCTTTCATTCCATGTGAGAATTCAACCTCTTGATTAGAAACATGATAGAAATTACAAAGAAAACCAAATTAATGATACTAGTCAGCCTCATAATTAGAAATACAAATAAAAATTACAAAATACACAAAACAGAATCATGTTAACCCTCTCAAGATTATATCAAACAACCTCTTGAAGGAGAGTTACGGATTCTAGTATTAAACTTATATTTGACCAAAGAGAACCTTGTTTTTATTCTAAGAGATGAAGCAGAAGATTAGTTGATAAATTAAATTAATTCATTAATCCAATTTTTAAAGGTATGTTATTTTTGTCGGAAGTAATTTTAATATAAAAGAAAAGTAAGAAATAAAATGTTGAGACAATTTCAATTGGTGGATACAATATAATGAAATTAGTCACTTATTATAAGCTCATATGACCAAAGCAACTTCTTGAAGAGTTTAAATTTGAAGAAAATTCTGAAAGACATTTCGTATGTAACAACCATAGCTATATACATTTTCTCTAATCATATCTTTCATAAAATAATAAATATATTGAGATAGATTGTGATTTTATAAAAGGATTGGAAATAAAAAGACATAACTACTAGATTTATTTATATTTATAACAAATTAAAAATGTATGACCTATATGTCTAAACTTAAAAAGAAATATTATAACTATTAAAATAAAATAAAAAACCAATCTTCTATGATTAAAAATATCTAAATTATATATATATATATATATATATATATTGTTAATAAAATTTTATTTATTTTCATATTATATTTTTATTATAGAAAATATCAAATCTTTATTTCTAATTTTCCAATAATTTAAGGTGTCACCTCACAATTTTATATTATAGTTTTAATTTCTTAAAGTTAATTTTAGTTGTCTGAGAACCGTGACTCAAATCTTACATAAACACATTTCAACTGGAGAAAAACTAAAATCATTGAATTATATTATACCTATTAGACAATTAAGGCTGTATTTTATCTATGATTGTATTTTACTTTCACTGACTCTCATTTTGTTTAGGAAAAAAAAAACTAATTAAAGTTGTATGACACATTCTATATCTTTTCTAAATGTATTTATGTATATATGGTACTAACCTTTTTGTAAATAAATATTTTGGTTAGTGTTATTCCACTGTTATATAATATGAAAGCCGTATTATTGTGAGGAAAGAAAAGTACATTTATACTGTTATTATCAATTGGTTCCTCTAAATTGAAATTTAATTGTCCGAGGTTATTTAAGTTGTCCATTTATTTCATTTAATTTCTTAAAAATTAGGAAAAAAATATGGTTTGACCCCTTAAAAACATTTTATATTTCTCCGCTTATTTGTTTTCATTTCTTCAAGTAAAATAATTAACTCGGGATCAATTTTTTAATATAAAAACTAGCCATGTGGACATCTATATAAAATCGCATGTTTAGTTATGGCAAAAGCTTTAGGTTGAAGAATGAATATACAGGGAATAAAATCATATCAGAGTAAAGGGCTATTTTAGCTCTAAAAGTATGACTTATCCAATTACATTCTGAAACTAAGTTTGAGAATTTTTTTCTTGTTCCATTAAATTAAATATTTACTGATATTTTAATTTCTATATAATTTAAATTTCATATTTTTATTTTATTTTTTAATCAACAAAATCATTAATCATCCAATAAATAGAGTATTTTAAGATTTTAGATTTATATTATCAACAAAGTACTGTAAAAAATTTATGGAAAATGACACTTAAACAACCATTTTTGACAACATTTAGACACGCGCACACGTGTCAAAATCTGAGTGGTCCATTTTCATTTAATTTTTCCAACTGGACCACTCAGATTTTGACACGTGTGCGCGTGTCTAAATGTTGTCAAAAATGGTTGTTCAAGTATCATTTTCCAAAATTTATTTAAAACAATTAGTTTAAAAACTGATAGTAACAATACTGTAAGCGTTTGCCCACTCAAATGTAACGTTAGTTTCTTTATTGAAAAGTAGAATATAATTCCCAAATTCACTCAATAGAAGTTCCACTCGAAAGCTAAGTGAAAGAAACGTAATATAAGCGACCAAAGCTCTGGAGCGGTTTCTAATCTATATGAATTTTAGACAGTTATCATAAAAACAATTTCATAAAATTATCATTATCCAAAATCGAGTTTACATGCTTTGTCTCAAACACACATTCGAACTAAAAATTCAGTGATGCGTGACAAGGGATCCGCTCATAAATTAAAAAGTGGGCATATATTATTCAGTTTCTAAGAAAGGTCTCAACCTTACACGGCTGGTGAACAACCCCCATTGAAGCCCAGCTCTGTATTCTCAGCTACATTTTTAAGCCTGCTACTTTAAATATGTTATTATGTACAAAACTGGAGCAGAGTTTCTTTCCTTCCTTCCCTCCCAGTTCCCACATATCCTTTGTTATAAAACTAGAACTCAGGTTAGATGGTTCAGCTCTATCGGAACACTTCACCGAAGGAAAGATGGATTCTCATACATAAGCAGTCACCAAATGGGGAGAAGCACGAGGCAGACCGCAAGAGTAAGTGACATACTTGACACTATCAATTAGCACAACCACGAAGATCCGAGAGAGTGACTTCGGTCTCATCATGCCATCGACATCACCATCGCCAGCCTCTTTAGGATCAACAAGAACTGAAACCACCATGGAAGATTCATTACCATGGAGGTGGTTTTTATCCATGTTTTTTACAAGCTCTTCAGTTATGTTCAGACTCGATCCATTAAGAGAATCTGGAAGCCCACGAAGGGTTCTTCTATTCCTGGTCTTTTTCACCGAGGTAGCATTCTGACGCTTTTCGGTAGACACATTAGATACTGATGTTGCAGGAACTATAGCTCCAGGACTTGGAGAAACATCAAACTGGAAAACTTCAGTGCACATGCCAGAACTTAACATTGGCCCTGTATCAGAAAACCAGAAAACTCAGCATACTTTCCATGTTATGAAGAAACAAAATAGGTCGACAGATCCTTTAATTTGCAATGATTGAAAGGTGGAAATCTCGAAGACACTGTTTTCAGCTCTTATATTTAGCCGAGATGCCGTTGATAATGAGTGTAAATCATGGCCTAAGAACACCTATTCTACAGCTACAACAATAAACATGCGAAACGTACTGGAAAAATATTTTTAAAACCAATCTCATCACACTAGTTTGAGACTCCGAAGGAAACAAAGGAGAAAACACCTAATCAATTCGGAAAGGCATCAGAATTTGTTGCAACAATATTTCATCATTAATTTATAGTAACAAAACAGTATCATGATTTCTTATCAGGGAAAACCAAGGAACAACCAGAGAAAAGAAAAACATGTTATGTAAGCAAAGATAGCATCCTCAAGACTTAATCATCACCAAAATTAGAAACCTTAAGCCTAATGTGCTTGAATATTCACAGAATAAGATTAGAAAATAACCAAGACATGACATAAATTAGAAGAGTGATGTATCATATTATTTCCTATCAAGCAGCCTATACATAATAAAATTAACAATGAAAGCCACAATATTGGATAATCACCTGCAAGACCTTCACGGAACCACTGTTGCATTTTACCATCAGTTGCAGAGGACTTCATATGGTCCTTTAAAGCTTTGGTTGAACCAGAGGCAAGAGCCTTCCTCTGTTCAGCAGGAACCCTATATACATTTGGATGTCTTCCAACTTCAGGTATAGCCAATGCAGAATCCCAATCCTTAGGAATGGCCAAACCTGTTTCTCTCTTCTCCTTTGCATCGGCAGTTTGAGATGCCATAGCTTTTTCACTAGC